AGCAGAATTCTCATCTCAGTCATTACCTCTCCAATACTCTTTCTGCGATGCAAGCCTCCTCTCTTCCGCTGGTAAGCTTGTACCATTGCAGACGCGTTTGTATTTTTGCAGCAATCTTATACTTTATTTCAAGCCGTTTCAAATAATTCTCTAGTCTACAAATTTTGTTAACTATAATTTTTTTGGTCCAGGATGATGTCAGAAATAAGAGAGTGTTTATGTGTTCCTCACAGCTCCTTTCGGTAGGTAAAATACCGCTACGAGATCGAGATAAGAGGCATGCCGAACCTGGCTTGGTTTTTTTCAGCTTAGCCAAAGTGAACGTCTGCACGCAAGTTCTTTTTGTTTTGACTAACTAGGATTCTCGCGACAGGTTTCCATTTACATTGATGACTGAACTGTTGTTGACTAAATTCTTCGTGGAAACAAGGAAGTTGTAGATGACAAGTGAAAAAGCAGATTTGCTCGTCTTTATAAACGCGTGATAGTGAAAACTTTACTTATGTAGGACCAGTGAAGGTGTTAAAGTATCTCTTATGAAACACTAAAAATATTCCTGTGCTTTTTCGCGAATTAGGGTGGACAAACAGTGACCTACGTCGCTCCCGGCATTTATGATTTTTTGATTTTGGGAAAGTCAAAAGATTGAGTATTATAGAATACTTATTCAAGTTATATTCCATCCATACATCGCATAAATACCTACGTTCATATTTGTTTGTACTTATATGTAATGCTATGTCCAAAAGTTTAGATGAAAAGTGTTCATAACATTGGAAAATAGATTGCTTTCAATCTCTGGCTCACGTTACTCACGTGAAAGTATAATTTTCGATGAACATAAATGCTTTTCAGTAATAACTGCTAAATCCGGTGGGCACTGATTCGTTTGGTACCATTTTACAGTTTCTTACGTTGATTCATATGTGCTGACTGATTTTGGAGCTTCAGTTTTTGACTGTTACAAAAGTTAAAATGACACAATTTTACTAACATTGATTAATCTGAAAAATATTTGTCGACGTGTATGTAATTGAATATTAAGTTGTCGCATGTGAAATTTCTACAAAATCAAAACGTTATTCGTGGTCCCGCTCCCAGGTTCCATGATCTCCATATAAATATGTGTTCCTCCAACATTTCTGTTACTCCTAAAAAAAATTTTTTTATTCTCAACTTATTTTGCAAGATCGCAGACAACATCAGGAAATTTCGAAAAGGTTAAACTTTTGAGAATGTACAGGACTAGTAGTAATTGAGCTTTCCATTAGGAGTTCTCTGCTGATTTTCAAACTAGATTTTTTCTCAAATACACGAAATGGCGCTAACTGTTAAGGGACATAAAACCTGCTATAAAATCTCTGAATGGAAAGGGGAATAAG